AGAAAGAAAGAAAGAAAGAAAGAAAGAAAGAAAGAAAGAAAGAAAGAAAAAGAAAGAAAGAAAGATTGAAAAGTCAAGGGGTAGCCTTATACTTATGGCTCAAGTAATTACACAGTATGTTAAACAACCAGAAAGATGTTTGACAACAGCTTTGCCTCTGTATTATGTACCAGAATATAAATGATATACCCCTGACCCCAATGTTCTAAATAAAATGCTAATTTTGGATCTTGTGACTGGATTGTACTTTTTTTCTACTTGAATAGGCTATACTGAAATTATAACAGTAGCAACAACAACCAGTAATAGAAACCACTAATAAAAATAGTTAATTTTTCATTTGTATTTGTCTCCCAAAAATCTAACAAATTCTTAGTTGCTATGAGAATGGCAGTCTGTATAAAGGGATTCCATAGTCAGGACTGCTTTTTATATCACAATCAAGGTTAAATCTCCACATACAATCTCCTGAAGCATAGAGAAATCCTCCATCATTGAAGGGAAAGGGGAAACACATAGAGAGCCAAAGTTGTGTAGTGATCAAGATGTTAGACTAGGATCTGGTTCAAGTCTATCCCCAGCCATGGAAACTCACTGGATGACCTTGGGCCAGTCACCCTGTCAGCCTAATCTATGTTCCTAGTTGTTGGGGAACCTTGAGCTCCTGGGAAAAAGTTGGGTTAACACTCTAATAAATATACATGTATTTATAGAACATATGGGTACTGAGTTTTAGATAAATTTATACCAAGATTCTACTACATCATACATAAACCTGGTGCAGGAATGAATGGGAATGTGCAAAAGCACACATGTATTCTGGAACACATCTGGACAAGACTCCACTGAAAAAGGAAAATGAAAACTTGAGAAAACCCCATTGATTTTGCCACATAATTAAACAGTTCTGTTGAGTAATTTAACAGATGCTGTCAATGAATGGGTTGCCTTCAAAAAATGGGAATTATAATCTGCCAACTGGTAGGTCTAAGTGAAAAATTTGGAAATGTTATGACTTCATTTTAATTCTTTAACCATCATTATGGGATCATTTTTCTTCTGTTCTTAAACCTGTCAAATTGATAAAGTGTGTGAATTTAATGTAATTTAATTTTACTAGTTTTTAATCAGAATCACAAGAAATATTTTCCTTAATGTGTTATTTCTCAGTCTCCTAGGTTTTAGAAGTGAGATCATGGGAATGAAAAGTCCATCTGAAAGGGGAAATCAGGGTAGTTGAAGCTGCTATAATGCATCAACAAGGTCTCATATAATTACAATTACATTATTTTTGTAACTATCAGAATGTCAGCTTTTGGAATACTGTATTCTGGAGCTCTATAATTTTTATTTAGTCTCAAATACCTCAAGCTTTAAAATAATAATGTAAAACTTAGTTTAATTTATTTCAATAGCATTTTTTCCACCACATGAAGATGCAGACTATCACAAAGTTGGGGAACTATTTTAGTTTCAATGAAAAAGGCTGTTAATACTGTATATTAGCAGGGAGTGAAATAGGGTGGAAGTACAGTTTAAAATGAGATCAAAAACAATTACAGGCAAGAGCAAAGCCAAAGTACTGGATTTATAAATGTAAATTATAAGGCAAAAAACATATTTTGGTAAATTGTGCAATTGTATGGTGCATTTCCAGCATCACTGTATTTGTCCAGAAATGCATTTAGTAATGGTTTCCTTTGACTTCTCTAAGTAGCAATAAAATAGGTAATGTCACACATTATTGAGGAAGGGAATGCACAACCAAAAGTTTTACATCACTTCTCAGTACACATGGCTCTCTAAGGAATTGCCAGTACTGTTACAGACTGGCCATGTGGGAGAGACCCAACTGATAATCCTCTAGCCTTGACCTCACACTTACCTCTTCCTGTCATGTAGCCCATGAAGATACTGGATTGCATTGTGATGCATGCAGGTAGTCCCCAGGTTAGGAACTAGTTCCATTCCCAAGATCTGTCCTTAAGTCAAATTTGTATGTAAGCTGGAACAGTATTATTGTATAATACTGTATAAGTAGTATTGTGTGATTAACTCGAACCATTGTGTATTTAACTTGAATCACTGTGTATTTAACTTGAATTTTGCTACAATAGGTTCTGCTCTTAACTATGAGTCATCCATAAACCGGGTGTTCTTAACCCAGGGACCACCTGTAGTGCATTACATTATTAAGGATAAACTGAAGTTTTGGAAGAACACCTAAGCACCTGATCATGGTCAGTGTTTTATAGTGACTGTTACTGTTAAATAAATATCAGCTTTAGTTCCTCTTCGCTTCAGGTAACCTCACAGACAAGCCATATAGTTTACTTGCAACAGTAGGACCTGGTTTACCGTTGTCACCTTTGGGGTTCTCTTTGTAACTAACCAGCTTAGCCTCCAGCTCTATACCAGTATTTCCTCGTGGTCCCCCAACTATATCATCCAAGGTCAGCCAGGGTCAGCTGGCTGCTTCTCCGCATAAACTAGTTTGTTTAATAGAAATTGTGAGCAATAGCAGAGTGGAAAGCAGTATTCATTTCTTTAACTTTGCTTTGAGTCTCTGCAAAAATATTGTCTGCATTTCACCCTGGAAACAAGTATTCTATTTTGTATTTTGCAGAAAACACCAGTTTTGATTTTCCCCACAAAATGGAAAGGAACTATCTTCAGCACTACTGTCAGTTTTCCTATATAGGAGTTCTCCACAGGTTTAGGAGTCCTTTGCAATTAGAAGCTGGCCTTCTGTTTTCAAACTCAGACGTAAAGGAACCATGGGAAGCACTACGCCTCCCGCAGCTCCACACTCAAAACAACTCAGATGCAGACTCTCTGTGGAACAGTATACTTGATGAACATTGGGAAGGAGGAAGGTGGGAAGCCAGTCAGAGGTGCTGAATCGATGTCAGTATTTGGCTGAAGATTGAAGTCAGAGAAGTATTAGAAGTGCTTCATCTTGAGCTACTCTATAATGTACAAGCTCAGTTCTTTGGTCTTGCTTTATATTGAGTCTGCTTTATGAAAGGCTTATAGTTTCCTCTAAATTTTTAAATAAGAATATGCTTTAATTTAAAGTCAAAATGATACTACTTTGGGAACTAGATAAGCTGCTCTAATTGTAAACAAAAGTATTTTAGACAGACGCTTCAGGTTATTGTTTGGTGCTTTGGTCCCCGTGCTGCTGTGTTACATTTTAACGGACGGTGTCTGAAACCTAAACTGTTCACAAGCAGGAAAGTCCAAAAGCTGTGATTGCTCTTTTTCAAGAATGTCTTGCCAGAGTGGCTTTACTGATTGTCAGGCAGTCAGAGGAGAAGGTTAACTGATGAGCCCTCAAGAGAAGTGGGGCTACTGCAACAAGGCCCCTTGCCGCTCTGTTTAGTGCTTATATGCTAAGCAAGACATGTAAAAACATTAGTCCACAGGAGATCCTGACAAATCCCGTCTCCGTCCTTCCAGGCCGTAAGCATCTTTTCCCAAGTAAGTTGAACTCCTGATACTAGTCGGTGAATATCTCTGTGTGTGCACAAAACCACGCACAGGTGCTGTGCATGTATCTGAAAAAAAGCATAGCAGCCAATTGTGCAAGGACATCCAAATGTATTCCAGACCAGATGTCTCACTGAACAGATTGACCTTCCTTCTCATGATACAGGTATAAGTATTATTAATTATACTTATTGCTCATCAAATGCAATAAGAATTGTGTGTGCGTGGCTATACGTGTTCTCAAACATTTTCAGAACCTGTGGAATTTAATAATTTTCTGTTTTGTGAACTGCTCAGAGAATGCTTGCTTACTCATTTATAATCATTGTATTACTTTTAATACTAGTAAAATTAAATATTAAAATTAATAAAATTAATTTAATTAAAATTAAAATATTATTAAGTAAACCAGATTCTGTACCAATATTGGTTTAAAAACACCTCAGACTGAGGACTCCACACAGTTTCAGAAAAGGTCTTTTCCAGACAGATTATGTGACCTTCTATGTTAAGGGAGTGCTGGGTACTGGGAATATATCAAAATACTGTTCCATCACTGAGCTAGGAGTTCTCATGTAATCCTAATGTTAGCATCATTACCTTATGCATTCTATACCTGAGAACTGTAATCAACCTACTGGCTTCCACTATAGCTTCCCAAGGCTGGAATCATATAGGGTGATGGTATTGCAGTCTTGTCATGGGTGGTGGTGGTGGTGGGGGATTTCATCTTAAGACAATCTTTTGTTTAATATAACTATTATATATGAATAGTATCAGGATAAAATTGGTTGGTTGTTTTTGGTATTGTTTTGTTTTTATCCCATTCATTTAGCTGTTTCAATCATGAATATTTTAGTGCTCTTTTGTCTGAAGGTACAGTTTACATATTTATCCATTATGAGTTTCTACACTGGTAGTTCTGCTACTTACAATTAAGACAATTCTCTTAATTTCTTTGTTTTTATATATTAGTAGTATATATAAAAAACACTGACAATCACTTTCCATTAGAGCCACACCATTTTAGTAAATTTAACTGGTGAAGACATTCTTGGGAGAAATACATCCTGAATTTTGGAAGTCAAATTCAGCCATCTGGGGAACAGTATCCCAATCCTGGATGTATCATCTTCCATCCATGCATCTCTTGTATGACTAAACACTGGGAGTCTTTTTTTTTTTTTCCAGCTAATTGCTTGCTTGCTTGATTATGTGCCATTATGTCA